AAGAGATAAAGAGAGAGAGAGAGTAGACGTTTACCTCCACTCCGTCCAAATCACGTCCTGCGGGGTGGTGTCGGTGTCAGTGTCGGTGGAGGAAGGAGCAGTTCAGAGGGGTTTGTCCATTTCCCAGCACGGCTCCAAGTTGACAACTGCAGTGGTGGAAAAAAATGATTGGCAGACCGGGTGTGTGTGTGTGTGTTGTAGGGAGGGTTGGTTAAAGATATTGTTCCGGCTTTTTAAAAAAGAAATGTTTCCTCACAGTTAATTAGCATGAAGAAAGAAACCCTCCAAAAAATTGATTTTTAAAAAATCAATCCGATGGAAGAAAATGCTCCCTTTGTGTGTTTTTTCTGTCTCCTCTGCCCCCTGTAAGTAAAAGCAGAAGAAGAGAGAGAGAGAGAAGAGAGAGAGAGGGGGGGTAAAAAAAAGAGAGAGGCTCTGATAACAAAAGAGCAGATCCAGTTTAAATGAAGGACTGGCTGGTGGTGTTTGTGTTGGAGAGAGCGGTGGGTGGGCTGTGGGTGGGTTTGGCTAGGGAGGGAGGAGGAGGAAGGAGGAGGAGGGTGTCCCCACAATTCAATACAGGAGCCAGAGAGAAGACCCAGCGTCGCCGGATCGGCGTCTTTTTCCTAGCTGAGAGAGAGAAGAGAGGAGAGAAGAGAGAGAGACGGGGAGGAAGAGGTAGAGAGGAGAGAGAGAGGGAGGAAGAGGTAGAAGAGAGAGAGAGAGAGAGAGGGAGGGACCAACGCCTGGGATTGCCCTGCATTTAAGGTGCGATCTATGTAATTAATGTAGGTGATCAGGCGAAACAGAAGAGAGCCTGATATCGAGAACATCAGGCCCCCTCCTTCCTCCTCCTTCCTCCTCCTTCCTCCATATAGGATCCAGATCCAGGATGAAGCCCCCTCTTAAGAATCAGAAGAAAAATAAATCCACATCTGGATCTCTTCTGGAGTCTCATGTAGGCTACGGAGGCTCATTATAGCCAAATGGCAGAAAATCAAATGATGAGATTCTCTCGTTTATTATGACATACTATCTTATATATAGGCTATATGTATGGTATAAATGTATAAAGGAGGGATTGCAGCTGTTAAGAGATTCAAAAGTGGAAAAAACTAATAGAAATAACATTGTAATTGCATAAATAACATTTTAAGAATGTTATATTTTAAGAAAAACTTGAGAGGTTTTAGTATTTAGGGAAAAAGTGTTAATATTTATAGATTAATTAAAAAGTTATTATGGCTGCGTTCACACTGTAAAGCTTTAGTGCTCAATTCTGATTTATTGTTCAGATCTGATTTTGTTTTGGGTTTTTTGGCTGTTCACATTGTTTTGTCCTGAAGTGTTAATCTAGTGTGATATAAAAGTGACTGTTCACACTTTGAATGAACTGAAAAAGATCAGATTTCACATGATTTGCAAGAATCAAGTTGTAATATTTCAACAATAAATAAATAAGTTAATTTCTACGGATTGATACGGTCCAGATATTGGAGATTGTAAAATGGAGAGTTGGAGAATAAAGTTGAAATATTCATAATGTTTCCATTATATTTCAAGAAGGTCGCAATATTTAGTGAAATAAATAATAATATTTCAAAATAAATCAAGCTAAAAGTCATAATACATAAATAAAGTTGTGATATTTATGGAGTACCGGTTTGGGATACACACATACAGCAAATTATACTAAATATGACACTTCTGGAGCAGCGTATGGAGGCTAATACATGCCAGATAATAATAAATGTATTGACGACTGATACAACTATGAGTTAGTTAGTATCAGTCACATTTTACATACTTTCGACAGTAAATTAAAACTATATTTACTATATTATCTCGTGATTGTGACTTTGTATCTGATTTTACCAAAGTCACAATTTTAAATTAATAACCAGTGTGATCTGTGAATGTATTTATTGATTTAAATCAGTAATTCCTCTGTTATAAATGTTGACATACAGGACACATTACGGGACGTAAATAATATGTGTACTTTTATTGCTATGTCAGACATAATTTTGAAGGAGATTTTATGTTTAATACTTTGAATAAAGTAGAAACATTTATTGATTTAGCTACTGCCAGTTAAAAACTATTATCCAATTACAAATATTAAATTGAATTTGAGCTTAATTTAACTTGAATCCCAGAGACAAATAACAAAGATTTTGCCTTGAACACCAGTTATATTAGATATTTAACCTTTGTAGTAAACAGATTAGTCCTTTTAAAGATATTATGAGGGGTTGAACTCTAAGTTTATCATTATTTATTTACTTATTTTGATTAACAGCTCACATTAAAGCCCCCCCCCGTGCACATCTGTTTGATATGTAGTGATGAAAAGAGACGACATCATTATAAATAAAAGGTGGAGATGTACACTGATTGAGATTGTGCTCATGTAAGGTGAATATTTCTGGTCCAAAAAAATGCAGAACATGAACAAAGAATCTGAAAAGAAAATTCTCTCTCTTTCTCTCTTTCTTTCTCTCTCCCTGACTGCCAACTGGCCACTCAATCAGCTCTGCCTCCCACGCTATGCTAATGACAGAGAGGCAGAGAGGTGGTTAAAGCTGCCATTTAAACAGCACAGTACACTGCTTCACTTTCTATGGAAACTGACTGCAGATGAAGGAGAGCTACGGATTCTCATAAACTTGTCCCCAAAGTCACCATCAGTCACCACCACCATACCCCCTCCGGCGCCTCATCCTTTCTCTGCATGTATTTAATTCAGTTTTTTGGTTTAATTTATACAGCCTGATATCACAAATGGCACATTTTCCTCAAGGGGCTGCATAATATATACAGCACACCTTAAGCTACAATAATCCTCATAGTCCGTCGATTCAGATCAGGAAAAACTCCCCAAAAAAGGGAAGAAACCTCTGGAAGAGCAGCAGAGGGAGGGATCCCTCACCCAGGACACACAGACTGGCAGTAGATGAGGACATCAGCATAGTAACATTACAGTAAGGACACATGAGGATGACACAATTATAGACAGAGTATTTATATATGGAGAATATGGATCGAGGACGATTTGTCCAGGTGCTGTGAAACAGCCACAGAGCCTCCTCTCCACCAGTATAATATATCCACTATTCTCTCCACCAGTATAATATCATTAATATTATCCACTTGATTCTCTCCACCAGTATAATTATATCCACTCGTCTTCTCCACCAGATATAATATACCCACTATTCTCTCCACCTAACTTATTATAAGGCCACTATTCTTTCCACCAGTATAATATATCCACTATTTTCTCTCCACCAGGTATTAATATACCGCACTATTTCTCTTCACCAATATATAGCCATATTCTTTCCACCAGTATAATATTATCCACTATTTCTCTTCCACCCAAGTATAATATACACTACTATGTCTCATCCACCAGTATATATCCACTATTATCTCTTTACCAGCTTAATAATATCCCACTATTCGTTATTCCACCAGTATAATATATCCACTTATTCTCTCCACCAGTATAATATATCCACTATTCTTTTCCACCAGTATTAATAGTACACATATTCTCTCCACCAGTATATATCCACTATTTCTCTTCCACCATGTTATAATAATTCTCTCCACCAGTCAGTGAATATTTTGTGACCTTGCAGATCATTAAAATGGTTCATTATATTGATTAAAAATATTAATATGGTATTCTCTATTGCAGCTTAGAAATATGTAAACATTTGTTTATATATTTCTGGAAATCAACACTAGAATTACATGGTTCCCTTCACATTGTCCAGGAGTACACACTTCCATATATTTGAGTGACTATTTGAGCAGAGCTTTGCAGCAAAAGTGAAGCCAGATCAACCTTTTTAATCCCTCTGTGTCTGGACTCCCTCTTGATCTGAAAATTACCTTAGCTACAAAGTTTTAGCACCATTTAGGAAGAACTAGTGGTGTCCAACCACTTTTTATTCATATCGCCTCAACAGGTGATTTCACTGCTCAGTTTCTCTCCTCTACCTGGAGGAATGTTCACCAGCAGCTGGAGTGCTTTGTTGGAGTATAAACCAGCAAACTGTTGGCTCTCAATTTCTAGTCTAGAGTTAGTAGTTTTACAGTTTTTAGTTTCAGCTTACAGAGAGGTTTTTAGAAAAAGCTTTTGTAATTTAACTGCTTTAATGCTGTTTTAATGTGTCTACACTCTTCTTACGATTATGTAAGATGTCAGTGTCGGTGTGTTAGACCCCTCCATGCCCCCCTTGCTGTGGATCATATCCGAGGAATGTGTCGTGGCAGGACTCACCTGCCTGATTCGCTGCAACCTTTCTCCTCCCCTCCTGAACACACTGTTGTCACAACACACCTATGTATCTATTGTCAATACATCCAGGACAGACGGGAGAAGAATAGCCGGACATTTCATCTGAAGAGACTCTGACCACAAAGCCCAGCAGGACAAAGAGGACACAGAGACAGAGAATAAACTGTAGGAGATAAAATATAAAAAGAATCCCAAATACGCCCAATGATGGACATGAAATCAGCTTTATTTATTCATTTATTGTAGTTGGTGATTATTTAATGGAAACATAATGAACTGTTTAACGATGCGGACTCTGGTTTGATTAACAGACGCCTGAGATACTCCAATTCCATCCTTTGCAATCATTTCATTTCTGCAGTGTCACAGTAGTGGAGCAAATATTAATCTCCAGTGCTGCTGGACTGTTTCGATTGGTTGATGCAGTGATTGCATCTCTGCAAACGCCACCTTCAAGCCACTGCCTTTTCTAAAAGCTCTTTATCACTTTTCTCAAACACTGGCAGAAGAAAGCATATTACCGGCAGCAGACCGATTGTGAGCAGGGCCTGGCGGCTTTTCACAGACTTTGAAGCAGCAGTTTCGAGCGGTCAGCTTAATAATACTGACAAACCACAGATTCTTCACCGGCCAGCCACCATACGTCAGAGTGGATGGCAGTGCTACTAAGGTCGTGATGAGCAAGGAATAGCACTGGCACCATTCCTCCATACACCTCAGACTTTAACTCTGCTTCCTGCCACCTCCAAAAGTTTTCTGACAACTCCCCCATCGCTGGATGCATCAAGAAAGAAAGCGAGGAGGAGAACAGAGGACTGATGGAGAGCTCTGTCACATGGTGCAGCAGCAACCACCTGAAGCTCAACATCAGAAGACCACCAC